CTACTTATATGATATATATTGTATCTATATTGCTAATTACATCGACCCTTTATCTTACAAATAAACATTTACTGCAGAGCACACCCATAACTCATGGATCACAGAGAGATACAGGTTTTCTAAAGGGAGAGCAGAACAACAACCGTTTCCTTTCAGACTATCTCTCTTTGACTGGAAGGCTGTGTAGCCCCTCTGAATGAAGCAGACAGAGATGGACAGGAGGTAGGGATGGAGGATGACCTCCTCCTCCTCTGATTGTTTCAACTGTGTTTGTAATCTAGAATTTCGTTATTAAGCCCTTTAAACAACAGACTTTTTTTTCCCCTACAAAACATTGTTCCCTGAATTAAAGTAGCATAGGGTGCCACCTACTGGCTGGAAATTGTAGATAGGAAACATCCGTACCTGACTAAATAACAATGACAAATACTTTTAAATATGTATTAGCTTAGAAAAGAAAAAAAAGAAAAAGGGAAGGTAGGGCGGAAGGAGGGAAGGAAGAGAGAAAGAGAAGAAAGAAAGAAAGAAAGAAAGAAAGAAAGAAAGAAAGAAAGAAAGAAAGAAAGAAAGAAAGAAAGAGAAAGAAAGAAAGAGAAAGAAAGAGAAAAAGAAAGAGAGAAAGAAAAGAGAAAAAAGAAAGAGAGAAAGAGAGAAAAGAGAGAAAAGAAGAGAGAAAAGAGAGAAAAAGAGAGAAAAGAGAGAGAAAAGAGAGAAAAGAGAAAAGAGAGAAAGAGAGAAAGAGAGAAAGAGAGAAAGAGAGAAAGAGAGAAAGAGAGAAAGAAAGAAAGAAAGAAAGAAAGAAAGAAAGAAAGAAAGAAAGAAAGAAAGAAAGAGAAAGAAATATGTATTAACTTAGAAAAAAAAAAAAGAAAAAGGGAAGGTAGGGCGGAAGGAGGGAAGGAGGAGAGAAAGAGAGAAAGAAAGAAAGAAAGAAAGAAAGAGACAACTAAAGAGAGAAAGAAAGAAAGAAAGAAAGAAAGAAAAAGAAAAGACAAGACATTCTCCTTTATATGATTACGATTTTCTTTGAAAAAATAATTGTTAAACAGATTTTGTATTTATTAAGAATAGGAAACATTTCTCTATAATCTTTCTTTATAAGGAAACGAACGGTCAGCTGAACATTTCCTATTAATTTTTCGTTCCGCGTTCGTTCTCGCTCGCTTTTCTAGGGTATCGCTCTCGCTGTGTTCTTAATTTGCCATCGCCACATTTGTATTCCTTCGGAGAATTCCATAATTACAGGTTCTGTGTTCAGCCGTCAGGCGGATCGGTCGGGGATTCTCCAGAACGCAGAAAAAGCATTTCCGAGTTCCCGTTAATGCCTTGTATTTTCCGGCGAGGGTCTTTCGGGGGGCGTTGTCAGAGAAAGGGTTAATGGCGCTATCTTGTTTCAGGTAGGACGTATCCGTATTCTGCTTACATATATATTTATATGCTGCACCACGCAACTGTGGTTAATGCGGTTTGCCCAGCCATCAGTAGATGCGTTGTCAAGCTAGCTTGCCTTGATGTGGTCATACACTGCGGAGTGTTCCAGCTAGAACTGGTCGATGATTCCCTCAACTGTGGCAAACAATCCCATAACTGTTCCATATAAAGAACAATCCAGACTTCGTAATCATCGTACGCAACCACTCAGTCTGATGACTCCCCGGCTAAAAGATATAAAAAGCTTCCAGCATGCTGGATATTTTTTTATAACCAACCCAGTCTCTGTTACTTCATGGAGCTTCTACCAGCTTTATTGAAACATATTGAAGGATGACCTTGATGACCTCATTCTGAAGATGCTAACATCCTAATCCTCTGGCTTCAGTACTTGCTGCATCACTGGCCATGTGGGAGATAGTCTGAAAGAAAGCAGCTTTTGTTCTATCTCTTTCCGACTGGTCACGGCTTGTTGCATATCCGTCCCATCTAAGTCCATTCCATCAACACAACAGAGAGGCAACTAGTCTTAGCTTACTGAGGATGTATTCATCCCAACACAGGCTTCCTGTAAAGGGAATCTCCAGCCAAAACTGAAAAGTTTTGAGTTACACACAGTAAATAGCACAGTTGAACTGCTCAAGGCCAGGAGTGGCCTGACCATTCAAGAACTCGGGCACTGCCCGGGGTCAGTAGGGGGTCCCATGAAATTGCCCTGGTACCTTTTTATAGGCTTTTTTGTGAGTGTGGGTAAGGACACAGGGGCCCCATGATCCCCTATTGCCCGGGAGGCCCCATAAGTTGTCAGTCCGCCCCTGCTCAAGGCTTTTTGTTTCTCATACAGGCAATGCTGAGGTGCCCCAACTGCCCCATCGTCTTCTGTCTATAATTAGGGAACCTGGCTTGTGATTCTGGACAGGGGTTCTCAGACACACCCACTGCAGGCTCCTCCCTGTCTCTCATCTACTGATTCTCTAATGCATCAAAGTGCTGAGAAGTTCCTCATATCCACCAATCAGATTCAACCTTGAAAGGCTGCATCTGGTTGGAGAGAGACGAATTTACACCGCACCACCTTGAGGAAAGAGAGACGCCCACCGTACATGTCAGGATCTCTCAGGATTAGGGTGCTTATTGGAACATTTACAAAAAAAAAAAGAAAATTAAAATTCTTAATTTAATCATTTTATATAACTGTCTAGAACACGCTCTGCCGATTTCAGACTGAGCACTTGCACTTGAAAGGCCACCAGGCCCCACACATTGACTGAGAAATGGGGCATTCATATGGGTGGCAACGGTATGACGTCATAACAAATACCATAATAATTATTAATTGATGTCTAATAAATACAGAAATATGGATTCTGTTATGAATGGAGCATAACGCTTCCTGTTCATGCGGATATATTAATAAGTGACCCAGAAGGATCAGCAGCACAAAAATATCAGATTTTCGGCGTCATGAAAGAATGCATAAAGAATTATTTTAACAATGTAGAATAAAATCAAAATAAACTGAGCTGTCTGTGTTTATGTAATCCTGAAATATATAAATTGTTACTATGATTAGTGCAAAACAAAGTATCCTCTCCAAAAGACAGTAATAAAAATATCATTGAATCCTTGGGACCCTTGCCTGCTGTGAGTCGGGAGGTCTACATACGGGAATGGGGTCTTGGGACCTTATGGACGTGCGTTCAAATTTAGTGAAAGATGCGCACGGCGGGTGTTATTTGTGGCTCCATTTTATGTCACCCCCCCAAGCTCGCACTGGATTTGGAGGGTTTTTTGTATGTTTGCAAATGCATTTTTCAAGTAAGTTTAAGTAGAGGAGAAGAATGGCATGTTTTTTAGTCTCATAGACTTTTAAATAGTAGCTCCTGAAAATTGTGCATAAACGCATTTTCAAGCGTAATTTAGGAAACTTCCTTTAAATTCTTTGGGGCCAAAAACCTCAGACATCTTCCCCCACAAATCTCATGCACTTTTTCGAGCTTGACACAACAGGAAACATGCAACACAACACTCAATGGGTCCACTGAGAATAATGGGTTTTCTCATCTTGAGTGTTGTTGCGCTTTGAAATTGCTCGATGAAAGGCTCAGGTGTGAACGAAGGCTAAGACTTATGGTCTGTTGTGTGGACAATATTAGACCCCAAAAGCTGTACATCACGGAGAAAGCTGACTGGTGACCATGGCTTAAAGAGAACCTGTCAATGCAGTTGGGCTAAGGTTGCCATCCAAACTCCCAACTAGGGTTTCATGGAACCTTTGGGTTCCTCCAGAGGTTGTTAGGGGTTCCTTGAGCAACACCAATGGAATACCAGAAGGTCATTGGTATGCCATGAAGGTGTCCTCTGCCCTAGAGCTCCTTAATACTCTCTGACAATGGTGGACTCTGTGGACAGGGACCTCAGTCAAGTAAAAGTTATTTGATGGGATCTCTTTAACCCACCACCAATTCAGACCAGGGATAAGTAGAGGGCAACCCTTTTCAGTGATTCTCTATAGCTAACCTTTGATTATAACTGATCTTACTATTTTCTCCACAGTTTATGAATAGTCTGTTCCCCAAACTATTTATGCTTCTGGTGATGAATAGATCCATCAATTCAGGGTTTATTTACCAAAAATTCCAAGGCAACATCAGCTCGGAACATTCTCTCTGATGGTGAACAAACTGGAGGTTTCTTTCCTGACAAAAGACCAATATTTAACTTTCCTCAGCCCTGCTCACTCCTCTTTTTTCCTCTTCTATTTAACGACAAACTAACTTTATGTGTATATATATATATATATATTGGATATAGGGATAGGATATCCCCATGTTCCCCATACACACCCTCCCAGGCCCCCTGCACCCTATGCTTTCTGCAAACTCAAACCTTTAGTAATCAAGTGAACTGTATCCAGTGTAGAATTGTAAGAACAAGGGAACATTTAGCATTTCGATTCATACCATTGTATAGGCAACCTCTAGACTATCCTTTCTATGGTTTCATGGAACCCCAGGGTTCCTCCAGTGGTTGCTGGGGGTTCCTTGAGCAATGAGCAATTCCTGCTTCTCAGATAAGTTTCCACTGATACCAGTGATATTTTTAGCTCTCTGTATGGGAAGAATCATTCTTCCCACTGATCACCAATGTAAAGAGCATTCTTCCTACTGACCACCAATGTAAGGGAGATTATTCCCACTGACCCCCAATGTAAGGAGCATTCTTCCCACTGACCACCAATGTAAGGGACATTCTTCCCACTGATCCCCAATGTAAGGAGCATTCTTCCCACCGACCACCAATGTAAGGAGCATTCCTCCCACCAACCACCATTGTAAGGAGCATTCTTCCTACTGATCACCAGTGTAAGGAGCATTCTTCCCACCGACCACCAATGTAAGGGGCATTCTTCCCACCAACCACCAATGTAAGGAGCATTCTTCCTACTGATCACCAGTGTAAGGAGCATTCTTCCCACCGACCACCAATGTAAGGGGCATTCTTTCCACTGACCACCAATGTAAGGAGCATTCTTCCCACCGACCACCAATGTAAGGGGCATTCTTCCCACTGACCACCAATGTAAGCAGCATTCTTGCCACTGACAACCAATGTAAGGGACATTCTTCCCACTGACTACCAATGTAAGGAGCATTCTTCCCACGACCACCAATGTAAGGGGCATTCTTCCCACTGACCACCAATGTAAGGAGCATTCTTCCACTGACCCCCAAGTGCATTCTTCCCAACCAATGTAAGGACATTCTTCCCACCGACCACCACTGACATTCTTCCCACCGACCACCAATGTAAGGGGCATTCTTCCCACTGACCACCAATGTAAGGACATTCTTCCCACTGACACCAATGTAAGGAGCATTCTTTGACCACCAACTGACTGTCCCCCAATGTAAGGAGCATTCTTCCCACTGTCCCCCAATGTAAGGAGCATTCTTCCCACTGTCCCCCAATGTAAGGGACATTCTTCCCACTCCCACTGACCACCAATGTAAGGAGTATTCTTCCCACTGACCACCAATGTAAGGGACATTCTTCCCACTGACCACCAATGTAAGGGGCATTCTTCCCACTGATCACCAATGTAAGAAGCATTCTTCCAACTGACCCCCAATGTAAGAAGCATTCTTCCCACTGACCACCAATGTCCCACTGGAGCATTCTTCCCACTGACCCCCAATGTAAGGAGCATTCTTCCCACTGTCCCCCAATGTAAGGAGCATTCTTCCCACTGACCATCACATTAATGATCAGTGAGTTGTAGATATAGTAATTATTAGCAGGGGTTCCTTGAAACCAGAAAGTTATTTCTAGGGTTCCTCCATGCTAAAAAGGTAGAGAAAAGCTGCTCTAGACACAAGTGAGTCAGCCAAACCAATCCAGACCTCCGAATATTCCAACGCAGCTTTCCCTGAAACCCCTTGGAGGTCATCCCTGCGGGCTGCACACTCTCGGAGGACTTCGGAGGGGAAGAGGATGCAGGCAGTGATACTCAGCAAGTGTCACATAGTATGACTAAGACATACCACAGATGGCTCCATCAGACAATCTTTTTTATGTTTATTACAGAACAGAGAGTTCCGATCTGTTTCCACACAAACGTACAGACTGTCAGCTCTGCGGGAGAGCAGCGTCAGCGAATGACGCAGCTGATTTTCCTCTCCAATTTTTTTTTAATAAGCTCCTTTGTGGCAGATTTAGGTAGAAAAAGAAAGATTGTAATAAATATGTACAGTCTGATCTTCCTATGGGGTGGCAAAGCCACACATTGCCTTCCCTTATATCCATTTCCAGCTCTGCCCTGCAGTGCTGCACTGCCTGTAGAACATGCAGCCTGCCATCATACATATAGAATTTATTGCACATATCCTGTGCAGCGCTATCATACGTGTTGTAAATAGCTGCACAGCCTGTCTGGATGTCCCATGAGACTTTGCTATGAGCAAAACAGCTATACAATGCAACAATGTATATCCTATACCATAATGCCATCAAATCATGTCATTCTCCTATATATTTAGGTTTAGACCACTGTCACATTTCCAGCCTATAACCCTGCACCTTGTACACATTGCCTGCCATTTACTGTATACTTTGTGCCCATGCTTTATGTATAGAGCCGTGCACCATCACCTTCCCATCAGTGTACTGGTCCTGTGCAGCCCTGCACCTCCTTATACTGCACTGTACAGTATACATGACCCTGCAATATGTTGCAGCCTGACCAAAGTGTCTCACATTCAGGTAAGAACACCCTCATATACCCCCCCCCCCCCCACCACCACCACCACCACATAAAGTAGTAGAAGTTACAGACATCTGTTATGTCCATTACAAGATGTCAGCCATGCAATGAGATAACTATTGGACAGAGGTGTGTCCAGAAGGCTGCTGTTGTGGAGTGGCAGTGCATGCTGGGGTTTGTAGTCCCACAACAGCTGGAGAGCCACAATATGGTGCAAAAGAACATATGGTGGGGAAATCAGCTAGCATGGCACATTGGAAAGGTTGTGGGAAATGTAAGAGCGTGTTATGCATAACTATCTATGTTCATTATATTAGATGATGGAGTTATATTATTACATATTCTATATATCAATATGATGAAAATAATAATAAACATGTATATATATATATATATATATATATATATATATATATATATATAAAAACACGTTTACTATTATTATATATATGTTTACTATTATTATAGATAGTGTGTGTGTATATATATATATATATATATATATATATATATATACACACACATATATATATCTACAGATTTAAATCTATCTACAACATCACATCTATCTATCTACAGATTTAAATCTATCTATCTATCTCTCTCTCTATCTATCTATCTCTCTATCTATATATCTCTCTGTCTCTCTCTCTCTCTCTCTCTCTCTCTCTCTCTCTCTCTCTCTCTATCTCTATCTATCTATCTCTCTCTCTGTCTCTATCTATCTATCTCTCTATCTATCTCTCTATCCATCTATCTATCTGCAGAAGTATATATATAGTGTGTGTATGCACACACACACTATGTCATAGGATGCTAAAAAGCTACAACAGGGATCTGAGATCAGGGCATAGGATGTACAGCTGTTCATACAGACATGACATACAGTACATGAGCTGATCTAGTGGCTGTCACTCTCTATCTACTCATATGACTAGTAACAGTGAGGTCACCAGGGTTGAATATCATGTATACAGACACAGTGTAATCCTGAATCAAAGACACTCACTGTAGAAAGTGTTCATTATTATATATGGATTATAGGTATGTCAACGGCTGAGCTAAGGGTAATGATCAATACAATGAAATATACATCCTAGCACACCTGTATAAAGACCAAGCCATCCTGTATGTGTGACAGGGGGCTGGAGAGGCTCACAGATCAGTGGAGTGTATCAGAGCATGGGGTGCAGCTCCTGATGGAGGGGTTATCCTTCTATTTGTCCTGAGAACTTGGGGTGAAATCTCAGCAGACATTGTATAGAGATATGGATGGATCAAAAACAGAAACTCAGTAAGATTACAGTTCTGTCCAAGTTCTAGGAGCTCACAGGGCTATGATAGAGAACACAGTGACTAGAAATCTATTGATACATTGTTGTCTATACCATTCCAGGGCTAATGATCATTGTATACTATGTATATAATAGCTGGAGTTCAAAGAGCTATCTATCTATCTATTCTATCTATCTATCTATCTATCTATTATCTATCTATCTATCTATATCTATTATCTATCTATCTATTATCTATCTATTAATTAATAACTATCCCTGTATGATCAATATAAGTTGTACCTATTGTAACAGTAGTTATGAAAGCTTCCTGTCCTGTCCTGTCCCCAAGCAGTTTACTACCCCCCCCCCCCCCAAATAAATCTATCATTCATATATTTATTAGCCATCTGTTTATCTACATATATCTACTTATTCATTCTCTCTCTATCTATCTATCTATCTATCTATCTATCTATCTATCTATCTATCTATCTATCTATCTTAGTATAGCTATCCCTGTATGATCAATATACATATCTATTGTAATAGTAGTTATGAAAGCTTCCTGTCCCCAAGAGCATTTAGACATGCAGCAGTTTACCTCCCCCCCCCCCCCCAATCTATCTTGGATATATCTTTAATGATTAATTGGGCTCCCGGTGCCCACTGGGGAGATTTCACAGATTGATCGATCTATCTATTGCTCTATCTAGCTAACTATCTCTGTCTTGGATAAATCTTTTTCTAGATAATGGGGCTATCTATCTATCCATCCATCCATCTCCATCCATCCATCCATCCATATCCATCATCCATCCATCTATCCATCATAGCTATACCTGTATGATCCATATAAGTATCTATTGTAATAGTAGTTAAGAAAGCCTCCTTCCCCAAGAGCATTTATGCATGCAGCAGTTTACCCCCCCCCCCCCCCCCCCCTAAATCTATCTGTCTAGAATATATCTTTCAGGATACTGTGGCTACCCTCTGGGTATAGATATGATGGATGATGGGGATCCGGGTGCCCAGTGGGCACAGCTCACAGTCCTGCATGTCTGGCACAACCAGCCACCACAATGCCCTCAGATCTGCAGTAAGCCATGAGGTGTGAGGTACAGGGTGCCTCCTGGCACAGCAGGGAGCCTCGGTGCAGGCTCTGCCTCCTTGTGGGGCCCATCCATGTAGCCCCTGAGATGCCATAGTGTGGGATCTCCCTGGTATGACCCCCCCACACACACGCATTGAGATGCCATCTGTGCCCCCCGATGCCCCCCTTACCGTAGGCTCCTTGTCCCCTGCTGCGCCCGGGGAGGAGAGACAGGAAGAGGATCCACAACATCTCCATCCTTCCGACTCCCAGCAGCAACATCCAGACACATCCAGGCAGTGCCACCCTCCTCCAGTGCCAAGAGCCCGACCATCCACAGCCGATCACATCGCCCGCCTGGAGTGCCCCCTGGCAGTGTGTTTGCAGCCCCCGGGTGAGGGGTGTGCAGAAGGTGAAGGGTGAGCAGAGGGTGGGATCAGCCAGTCTCCCTCCTGCCCTCTTAGTATATGCGATATCCTCCTCTTCTATCTCACAGACGATCTCCGCTGATCGGGCGATGCCAGTGCAATCCCCTGAGATGCCAATTGTCGGAATCCAACAGGTGCCCCGCCCTGCCCATCCAGCAGAGGGCACCCTCCTGCCACCACCTGTGGGATCAATGGACCTGGATGGATCCCCGGACCCCCTCCTGCCACCACCTGTGGGATCAATGAACCTGGATGGATCCCTGGACCCCCTCCTGCCACAATGGGGCTTCACCAATCAGACAGACCAAGGAAGGGGTTAACAGTGGAGTGCAAATAGAGAGGGAGGGTAATAATAATCTGCCCCCCAGTGCCCCCTCCTGCCAATCTTCGTGCAATCCTGCTCAATGGAGACGGACTGGTGGAGGTAGAAGACGTCCAGGAAAGGGTTAAAGATGGAGCAAAGGAGTGATGATAACCAAGGGCCCCCCCCCCAGGGCCCACCAGAGCACTTCCCAAATCGTTATTTCTTCTATGTGCAATGCTGCCGCTCCCTGCCAAGGATGGGGATGAAGCTCAGGAGGTCTGTAGGGTCCAGTCCTAGTAAGGGTTAAGGATCTGGATTGCCCTCCAGATGCTGAGGACCTGGAGAAGTTCCCTGCTGCTCCTAGCCAAGGATGAGAATGGTGTTCAGGAGGTCTGTGGATCCAGTTCTGGGAAGGGTTAAAGATGTGGGGCCCCTGCAGATGCTCAGAACCTGGAGAACGTCCCTGATGATCTTAGGCAAGGATGGTGATGATGCTCAGGAGGTCTGTAGGGTCCAGTCCTGGGAAGGGTTAAGAATGTGGGGCCCCTGCAGATGCTCAGGATTTGGAGAAGGTCCCTTCTGCTTTCAGCCAAGGATGGGGATGATGCTCTGGAGCTCTGTAGGGTCCAGTCCTGGAAGGGGTTAAGGATGTGGGGCACCTGCAGATGCTCAGAACCAGGAGAAGGTCCCTGGTAATCTCAGCCAAGGATGGGGATGATGCTCAGGAGGTCTGTAGGGTCCAGTCCTGGGAAGGGTAGAGGATGTGGGGCTCCTTCTGGCCCCTCTCTACATGTTCAAGATCTGGAGAACTTCCCTGCTGCTCTCAGCGAAGAACGGGGATGATGCTCAGGAGGTCTGTAGGGTCCAGTTCTGGAAAGGGTGGAC